TTCACTTAATGTTAATTAATTTTTAATGTAGTTTTATAAAAAACCCATTCTATCATTAATACTGAAAAAAATTCTTTAAATATTGTAACTTTAGAAGAAAATGATGAGAGAGGTACAATTAATCCTTTGGGATCAATTATCTAGCCTGCTGCAGAAAATTTAATAGGCTTTTCTTTATCTTTAAGATTAATGAAAACCTTTGTCTGAAACTGCTGTTTGTTTGAAGTTAAGGTCAAGCCTTCATGATATTTGCATTCATTGAAGGCTGGCATTCTATATAACACAAGCTTCATAATTGTTTAATACATTCAATGTTAAGTTGTTCTTCACTGTCTAATGTAAATACAAGGATATTATTTTCAGGTTTTTGAATATTCAGGAATTATCTTGAAATTTTAAGAATACAGTTGCTGTTGCTTATTCTTCGTACATTTTTTAATCATTCCGTAAGCTGCACCCTTTTAATTCTACCCCATGGCGGGGCCCTTGCTGACTGGTCAGTTTTCTAGTTGAAGATAAAATAATTGTATGCAAAATTTCTTTCCCTACCAAGTCATTTGCCTGCAAACTGGACAAATATTAGACTTGGGTTCTGTATATCTTGGTCTGTTTCCTCAGGCCCAGCAGTCTCTTATAGATTGATCTCTGATTTTTTTCAACCAAACTTTGGCAATTAATGATCCTGGATGGATTCCATCGGCCAAAAGGGAAAAATTAGTAAATTTCCTGAGTTTTGATGTTTTCTTTGTTCCTGATTTTGTTTTGGAGGTTTTGTGTAGATCTACAGAAAATGCTGGTGAATGGGTTTTAAGATTAGTGTTGATTTCCTTTATTTTGTTGTTTAAAGTTGTTCTTCTAGTTCCTTATCTTGTTCTTCAAAAATTTGTGGGTTTGGGTGTCCTTTCTTTATATTCCAGGCTTTTATTGAATAAGGTGGTACTTCTAAGATGGTGACTTTGGAGCCTGGATATTTATTCATAATGTTAATTACTGTAAACCAACTATTATTCGCGTCGACTTTTATTCGCGATTCGTCAGTTTAAAACCAATCTGCGACGATTAATTTTCGCGACTGAGGAGATATTCTCAGCAAATAGAAAGCAAAATAAATAGTTCGCGGCGATTAATATTCGCGAGTTAGAGAAGGTCGCGAAATTCGCGAATGTTTCTAGCACGCGAATAAAAGTTGGTTTACAGTATCTCATAAAATTTTGTTTGTATATTTTCTACGACTTCATTTTTATTTTGGTTTAGACTAATGTACTTATTGTTTCTACTGGTCAAATTGCAGGTATAATAGTACCTAACCAGACATAAAGCCACACATTTCCATATTTCCTGATTTTGTTATTTATGTTTGTTTTGAGCCACTCGGTACTGTCCTCAATCTTCGCGCCACTTTTAGAAAACCAAATAATGTCTACCTTGTTGGTTATTGCTCTTTCGAGCCATTTTCCCTTACTATCAGAGAGGACAACAGGCTGGTATATTTTTTTTCCAGATGGTTCTGGTGCGGGAAGGTTTAAATATTTCAAAAGTTTTGACTCAGTCATGATGATGATATGTAGTTGTCAGAGGAAGGTAGAAAGCAAGATGGTGGATGACGTCACGGAAGGATTATATATAAATGTGCACAAAAGTGATTGTTAACAGAATTTTTACCATAAATGCTGTGCAAAATGAAACGCAAACAAAACAAAAATGAAGATTGACACACACAAAAAACAAAGACAATAAACTAAATATAAAAGATGAAGAAAATGAACTAAAAATAAAAGACAAAGACAGTGAACAGAAGATAATATCAAAGTACTCAGAAGTACTAAAAGCCGAGCTCATTTACAGGGTAATGAACAAAGACCGGAATGACAGTTTAAAAGCAAGCTGATTCAGACATTGAAAAGATGATTATATATATATATCTATATATGTCATATATAGTATTAAAAAGCTTTAAAATTAATTAAAATGTAGCTATAATTTAACAGCGTAAAATATGTGTCACATGTATCATTTCGGGGTTTTACATACCAACTGAAGTAAATGAACACTGATGCAGCAAGATTATTTATTTTTTACTACTAAACAGAGAACCCTAGAGAACTCTAGAGAACCTTAGAGAACCCAAATGATTTTTAATTATTTACTGTCTGTAAATAATTTATTTATATTTTAAATAACTAATATGTCATGCCAGAACAAAATTAAATTTAAAAATATATATTTTGACAAGTTTTGTGGCTTATTTTTAAAGAGTACTATAATCTCTTAAGACTTCATCATAGCTTTGTGATAAAACTTGTAAGAAATTAATTAACATGTTTTAGATCAGAGTAAATGATTACGAATTCTATATATTATTAAAATTAAATAAAAATTAATGTGAAAAATAATCGTAAAATTATTTGATAAATACATAAATAAATGTACAATGTTTTTGAAATTCAATTGGGATCAGGATGTCAGAAAATATTTCACGATATAGTTTGTTACGTTTTTCTGGTGAAAACTTCATAAAATAATTTTTTAATTGATTTTATGTATAAAATATGATTTATTTAATAAAAATCAACCCAATCATGCATAAAATATACAGTATAATTTGTCCAAACCGGCTGCCGCCGGTTCCATAAAATTTGGCCGGTTTAGACAGAATCCGGAGTGCAGGAAAAATGCAGGAAAATATCAATTTCGAAAATTTCGTTGTTTATTTACAAGTACATCATATACATATTATAAATAAAATTAAATGATGAAATAAATTAATATTTTGGAGTCTGAAATTATAGAATAGTCTCACATGACTTAAATGTATTCTCTTATTTGTTCAATCACGAAGTAAGAAAGTCGGGTGAAATGTTACCTCAATCAAAATATACAGGACAGGCACGCATAATATAGGCTTACTATGTATCAAGCGGACCGGGTTTCGCTTGTCAAAGATCTCATTCAATGTATTAACAGCAATGCGCAATTATTTACGATGTGCTAATTATTAGATTGAACTTTTAATTTTTATGTAAAAAACACTACGTCTTCCCCCACAGTGTTATGGCGCCATTTTGAAATGCGTTCGATTTTCGATCCCGATTTATATACTGATTTGTAAATCGCGTACATATATTTTTGTGTTTATGTTTTAATGTGGTAAAAGGAGTTAAAACAAAGTTCATTTTTTTAAATTGTAATTTAATTATATAATATATTTTTCAAGTGGGCTGCGTCACCGCGCATTTCACAGAGTACGTCTCATGGCACTAATCATGCTAATGTAAACACGGATTATCACATCCACCACGAAAGGTGTTAATTGCTCTGAAGTAACTCAGGTGTGGCCGGATTAGAGGGAATAATTACCGTTAATTATGAGCAGTTGGGACCAGTATGGCCGTTCGGAATACAGAATAGACAGTATCCGGACTACACAGAATTTTTTTTATTGAATTTGTTAAAGAAGTGCATGGGACTAAAATTTGTAGACGGAATGGACAAAAGTCCGGAGTACTCAGAGTCCGGATTAGACAAATTTTACTGTATCAAAATTCACCATATAAACCTCAAGTTCTCTAGGGTTCTCTAGAGTTCTCTAGGGTTCTCTGTTTAGTTGGACCGCATTTAAGGTAAAATAATTATGCACAGATGGGTCCTCAGCGGGGAGTTTTGCATCAAAGCATTAATGGTGTTCCCCGCATTTGTATTAGTACACCCTTTATTTATAGAATATGACGCAGACAGGGATACCTGATGAAAACCTTTCGCATATTTTAACCAAATGATTAATCATCGAAAACGATATAAAGTATTTTATTATAATTATTTTTTGACAATTTCAGATAACTATGAAAGTTTAATTCAGTGTTTGTATTGCCTCAAAGGTGATTGCGCAGACGTACTATATTCTAACTCGTAAATTTAATTTGGCGGTGAAGAAGCAGCATTTTCTGTTGCTCACCGTCGCAATAGCCGGGCATTTCTCTACGAGAAATGAGCCCGGCTAAAAAAAAATGAAATAAAAATATGATATGTATATATAATATAAAATGAGTTAATATTTTCTTCATAAAAAATGTATTTACCTTTTATGGAAATTTCAGTCACTGTATCACTGTAATTTCAGTTTGCAAAATCCAATATTTGTTCAAGGGTTATTAAGGTCAAGGTATTCACAATGGTATACAGTATAGCGCGGAGTCCCACACTGACTGAGTGTGACTACCTTGACCTCTTGTCCTGCACAAATATTGGAAAGCAAGATGGCAGATGACGTCACAGAAGGATAGGGTGTTTAAGAAGCTGCGTAGCAGTGGTCAAATCTAGTTGTGTCTGAGGAAATATATAATTATATGTATATTTAGAAAATAATAACTTTCACAATGCTGACATTAAACTGATGTCATTTAACAGTAATATAAGTAGAACAATAATGTTCTACAATTTGTGTAAGTTCATTACCTCTGATAAATAGAAATCCCTCTTTTATGTCTGTGTTAATCTCTCTTTCAGTCAAATCATAAACGTCACTTTGTTTTCTTTCTTTATCACTCCAGTATAGCACCTGTAATGCAAAATGTGAAAATAAGTGTCTGTTCTTATCCTGCTTTTCAGTTATATTAATATATTTTTTTTTGCCATGAAACATACCAAATATCTAATATTGAAGATTTAACATTTCTATTCAAAAATGAGTGTAATTTTTTTAAATAGTCTTAAATTCATTAAAACTTTTCGCAATACAGACACAAACAATTAGACAAAAACAAAAAAAAACAAAACAAAAATAAAACACATGCAGTTAAAAGGTGCACAGAAGTATTTTATGTTTGCAAATCCTTTATAAAAATATGGATTTGAAAACATTGATTTCAACATGCACTTTAAGATATGGCTGTATAATATTTATAGTCATATGGATGAAAATCACTTTGCTTTCAGTATGAATTGGTTTACTTATAAGATGTTCTATAAAAGCATGTTTCACTGTATGTCGATCTATTTAGAGTTTACTGACATGTGACATGCTAGTAAAAAAAAAGTATGTACATCATAAAAACTCTATGTAAGTCAGGAGCCTGATCCTTTTACTGAGATATTGTGATGAAGGTGATGAACTATAGTTAATGTACTTATAGCCTGATTAGCCTCCACCCATTATATGAAATTTTAAAGTGTATCTCAAATTTAATGTGATTGAAACATATTTAATGGCAAGTGGAAGTAATTTTTTTTTCTAATTACTTTAAAAACTCCATCCTTATAACTTAAAATCTGTCCTTCCCAATCAGAGTTCCCCCCATCACTATTAGTCCATGTGTGTATTATTTCTTTCCCCACAAGGTCACTAGGAATCACATTAACACATGTTTGTCGTATATTCAGGAGTTGTAATAAATTATTTTTCAGTTGTATAATATCAAATTGTTTGCCCTTGCTCGAATACTGGCATAAATGTTTGTGCTCTTTGCTAATTTTAAAAACTTTTTTATACATATTTATCTGAGTTTTAAGAGCAGATAGTTTCTCCTTCTTTGTTTTCAACTTTTCAATTTCATTCTCAATCATATCCTTGTTTTCCCAAATTCCTTGCTTCCTCATATCCTCTAAAGCTTTGTCTACACCCTCTGTCTGTCTCTCTTTCTTCTTCTTTGTCTCCTCTTCTTTCTCCTTCAAACCTTGTATATGTTGTTGAAATAATATGTCTTTTCTTTCCTTCTGTAAGGCCATGAACTTTCGGTTTTCCTTCCGAGCATTTTCGACTATTAATTTTAGTTCACTTTCATCTTTCTCCTCTAGCCATTCCTTTGTATCATTGTCATTAAAAATCATCACACTTTCAATTGTATTTATATTGGTTGTTGGGCCTGCTTTTAAATTATAATCTAACTTTCCAAACAGTCTTTCTACACAAATATTGTTTGTAACGCATGAGGAACATTCTTCTAAAATATCTTGAGTTACATTAAAATATTTACCACCTGACAAAAAGTCATTAAAAATTTTCTCAACTTTTGTTTTAAAAACACCACAAAATCTTTTTAAAAATACAGCGGTTAGATCGTTGTGTAAACAACAATCAAATAAAAAGTCTGAAACATTGTCATAAAACTGTGGTCCATAAAATAATCTTAACTCTTGTTTTAGAGCCAGTAATGGATTTTCATAATACATATTCAAAACAAATAAAAGTCTCTGATATACAGAACCCATATCTAATAATGTCCCAACTTCTGACGCCTTTGCAAAGTAAGGCTCTGTAATTAATTTGCATAAAATTCCTAAAGCTCTTAAAAGACATAAAATAACCTTATTTTGCAGAGATAAAACAATGAAATTCTGTAAAAAAGAGTATGAACTTTTCATAGAGAACATATATTGTAATAAAAGTTTATGGATAAAAAATGTACCTGCTGCATTATGAAAAGAAACATTAAACCTGTTTCCTCTGAAATTCATAATTGGAATTTTTTCTACTCCATGATATTTCATAAAAATGTCTGAAATGTTTGGATCCCCAGCACCATCTTTGTAAAAAAACTTTGAAACATTTCTTAAAAGAAACAAAATAAAAGGTTCTTTCAATGAATTTGAATACCCATTAAAATTAACTTCTAACTCCTTCTCAATATTAAAAGCCTCTGCAAAGCACACTTCTGAGAACTGTAAAAGTGGATGAATGCAGCATTTAAAAGAATGAACAGTATGTGAAATATCTTTGCTTAAAATATCATTTACTTTTTGTTCTGTTGCGCTTCTGTCTGTCATAAAACAGTAAACTGAATTTAAAATATTTGAAGCATCATTTTTGCTAGAGGATAAATCATTTATAATCTCTTTTGTACAATTGACATATGTCTCACTCTTTCCATTACAAACTTCTCTCACACCTGCTGTTAAAATTTTCTCTCCTGTGTTAAATTTTACGCCATAAAAATGTTTGCCTTTTTTAGTCGTTGCGTCTCTATGCATTGTTGTATTTGTACAAGTTAAAAGAGTTTCATTTAGTTGATTTCTGGCAACAACACCCATTTCACTACTCAACACAGCTGCCGTACTTTTGCTCGGTAAATTTTTTACATTAATATCAAACAACTTTAAAACAGCTTCAATAATAGGTGCAATATGTACAATGCCAACATTATGGCTTCTAAAAATATAATATAAATTTCTTAATTTAAAATTAAAAGGTTTTCCTTTAGACATATCTTTGAAATCTAAATTTTTTTCTACCTGTACAAAGTCTTGTGATTTTTCTTCATTATTTTCTTTCTCTGCTAATAAAAGATCCATTTCTTTTTTAATATTTTTGACATATGTTTTAAAAGTGTTACATTGGACACCTTTTTCCTCTTTTGTATTTTTTTTATTCATTTCTTTCTGTTTTAAAACCTTCACCTCTTCCTTTAAAATTTCAATTGTTTTTGTTTTTCTTTTTAAATTCCTATTGATGTTCCTCATATTTACAGACCTTAAGCGGTCTTTTAAAGCTGCGTTTTCTTTCTTTAATTGTAAAATTTCTTTTTGTTGTTCGTCAATTTTTTCTTGTAATTCTGGAGATTCTTGATTTTTATAATCTTCTTTCTGTTCCTGCATTGTATCATCTTTGATTTTCTTTTCTTTCTTTGAAGTTGGTAATTGAAATTTTTTTTGGCAATATGCATTATACTTTTCTTTGTTGGTATATTTCTTAAGATGTTCCATTTCTTTTACTATTTTTTTGACTTTCCATAACAATGCGAATTTACTTATTTGTAAACAAGAAACGCCTAGGGCACCACAAATGCTTTTGTGAATATTTAGAATGTAATCTTCACCGCCCTTATGTTTCTCATAAATTTCTTGGATGTTTACATACAACAGATCCATGATAATTAATAAAGTTAAACATGAACTAGAGTGAAAAACAGTGATCTAACTGATGTTAGAGATTACCACAAATTTGCTGTATAAAATGAAATGAAATTGAAATAAAAGAAAAAAATGAAAACAAAACTAAAAATTGAAAGAAAATGAAAGAAAAATAAAATAAAAAAAAATTAAATTAAAGAAAAAAATTAACTGAAATAAAAGAAAAAAAATGAAAACAAAACTAAAAATTGAAATAAAATGAATGAAAGAAAAATCAAATAAAAAGAAATGAAATGAAATAAATTAAAGAAGAAATGAAATAAATTGTAAGTGTGCTGAAATATAATGCAAACATGTATATACAACATAGCACAAAAAAGTATATTTTACAACACATATATACACTGAACAGTGTACATAATAACTAAGTTTAAAGAATACATACCTTAATGTGGATAATCTTTGTGTTGGTATTTCACTCTAGTAAAATCTTTTCATTTAACAGCTGTTAAACATCTGTAATAAAAAGATTTATTATTTAGACTGTAAATCTTATATTTCCACAAAATACACAATTAAAATACATATCATGATGAACCTGTTTCAGCCGCTAGACCTTAATTGAAATGTCTTGTAACATCATATTATTAATTTTTATGTATAATTGTATCGTATGTAGACACTGATTTTTTCTGAAACAAACTATAACAAGGGCAGATAATCTATTTACAGTATATTTGCTCTATTAACAGTACACCAGCATTTTAAAAAAGAATGTGAAAAAGTGAGAACAATAATAATAATTTAATTACATCAATAATAAATGAAAGGTAATAAGCAATCATTCCATGCAACTTAATATTACTTAATCTAAACTTTATACAGACTAACATTAAAAATACTAATTCTCTCATATGTTGACAAGGCATTGTGTTACTTGAATTTTATTACTTTTAACCAATATTATCGCCATTTCAAGAATATATTATCAATACAAATGCTAAACAAAACGATCTTTATTCTTGAATTGCAATGTCAGACAATTAAATCACACTTAGAGCCAATAAATTACTTACCTCAACCCTCGGATGAGACTGTCGTCTATCACAAACGTGAAAACATGGATCCCGTGCCTTCCGCTTAGTTACTATATTTAGATAAGATGGCGTCAGGTGGAATAGCTACCGAGTCGACTCGTATAATCCAGGAAGTCTGTTTAGAGTAGATTTATACCAACTGCGAGCCCGATCTAAAATCCTAGTAGAGAAATGAGAATTTAGCTGTTTTATTTATTTTCTTGCTTTTTTCTACTTTTTTCAGCCCAAATGATATTGAAATACTTTAAAAGGTGGAAATGCCGATAATTGTTCACTGAACAATTAGTCTACTAGTTTATTATACGTCTGTCTTTTTTAAAATAGAAAAAAAAACATCCTGCATGCAGATTAATAGAGGAGAACGGAAGACCTTATTTGTTGCTGTAGCAACAAGAGTTTCTAGTTATTATTATTATTTTTCTGACACAATTTCTCGACAACCACTGGATAGAATTACATGAAATTTTCAGAAAAGAGGTGTTGTTAGATAGTCTTCCAAGTTCCAAGTGATTTTTTCAAAATTCCTCTTTGGTGCCAAGTTTCAGACCATTTTCCTGACATTTTGTCCACGGATAATCTCGAGAACGGTAAAAGATATCAATGTGAAACTTTCAGAGATTATAGATGGTGATCAATACTATCCAGAACGCAACTTCTTGTTCGTCGTCAATAGTTCCGGTCGCTACCCGAAGCCAATTTAAAAAGTCCAATTTTTCAACTTTTTTGTTTTTCAATACTTTTCTTTGATATTGCTATGGTATTTAGAGACTCTTTCAAGGATACTTAATATGTAATTTGTTTTTTAATCGAAAAGGCAGGTCTCGAGATATTTGCATTGAAAAATTTGAAGCAGCGGTTCCCAATGGCGGAATAAATAGCACGTTGGATTTTCACGCGGGCGACCCGGGTTCGATTCCCCGTGTGCCCGTATTTTTGTCACTTTTTCTGCTGGATTTTTTGGTTTTTTAGCTCTACTGGTCAGAGACCAGAAGAGCTTATGCGATAGTAATGCGTCCGTCGTCTGTCTGTCTGTCCGTCTGTCTGTCTGTAAACAATTTTTCAAATTTCTACTCCTCCTACAGTTTTGGTCTGATTTCAATATAACTTGGCACACAAGTAGACTACACTAAGACACATAATTCTGTGTATCGGTTTTTGATTTCGATGAACGGTGTTGCCGTGGTTACTAAAAATAGAAATTTCTGTGAAATTCTTTCAAAATGCTACTCCTCCTACAGTTTTAGTCTGATTTCAATATAACTTGGCACACAAGTAGACTACACTAAGATACATAATTCTGTGTATCAGTTTTTGATTTCGATGAACGGTGTTGCCGTGGTTACTAAAAATAGAAATTTCTGTGAAATTCTTTCAAAATGCTACTCCTCCTACAGTTTTGGTCTGATTACAATATAACTTGGCACACAAGTAGACTACACTAAGATACATAATTCTGTGTATCAGTTCTTGATTTTGATGAACGGTGTTGCCGTGGTTACTAAAAATAGAAATTTCTGTGAAATTCTTTCAAAATGCTACTCCTCCTACAGTTTTAGTCTGATTACAATATATCTTGGCTCACAAGTAGACTACACTAAGATACACAATTCTGTATATCGGTTTTTGATTTCGATGAATGGTGTTGCCGTGGTTACTAAAAATAGAAATTTCTGTGAAATTCTTTCAAAATGCTACTCCTCCTACAGTTTTAGTCTGATTTCAATATAACTTGGCACACAAGTAGACTACACTAAGATACATAATTCTGTATATCAGTTTTTGATTTCGATGAACGGTGTTGCCGTGGTTACTAAAAATAGAAATTTCTGTGAAATTCTTTCAAAATGCTACTCCTTCTACAGTTTTAGTCTGATTTCAATATAACTTGGCACACAAGTAGACTACACTAAGATACATAATTCTGTATATTGGTTTTTGATTTCGATGAACGGTGTTGCCGTGGTTACTAAAAATAGAAATTTCTGTGAAATTCTTTCAAAATGCTACTCCTCCTACAGTTTTAGTCTGATTTCAATATAACTTGGCACACAAGTAGACTACACTAAGATACATAATTCTGTATATTGGTTTTTGATTTCGATGAACGGTGTTGCCGTGGTTACTAAAAATAGAAATTTCTGTGAAATTCTTTCAAAATGCTACTCCTCCTACAGTTTTGGTCTGATTACAATATAACTTGGCACACAAGTAGACTACACTAAGATACACAATTCTGTGTATCGGTTTTTGATTTCAATGAATGGTGTTGCCGTGGTTACTAAAAATAGAAATTTCTGTGAAATTCTTTCAAAATGCTACTCCTTCTACAGTTTTAGTCTGATTTCAATATAACTTGGCACACAAGTAGACTACACTAAGATACATAATTCTGTATATCAGTTTTTGATTTCGATGAACGGTGTTGCTGTGGTTACTAAAAATAGAAATTTCTGTGAAATTCTTTCAAAATGCTACTCCTTCTACAGTTTTAGTCTGATTTCAATATAACTTGGCACACAAGTAGACTACACTAAGATACATAATTCTGTATATTGGTTTTTGATTTCGATGGACGGTGTTGCCGTGGTTACTAAAAATAGAAATTTCTGTGAAATTCTTTCAAAATGCTACTCCTCCTACAGTTTTAGTCTGATTTCAATATAACTTGGCACACAAGTAGACTACACTAAGATACACAATTCTATGTATCGGTTTTTGATTTCGATGAATGGTGTTGCCGTGGTTACTAAAAATAGAAATTTCTGTGAAATTCTTTCAAAATGCTACTCCTTCTACAGTTTTAGTCTGATTTCAATATAACTTGGCACACAAGTAGACTACAGTAAGATACATAATTCTGTGTAGCGGTTTTTGATTTCGATGAACGGTGTTGCCGTAGTTACTAATAATAGAAATTTCTGTGAAATTCTTTCAAAATGCTACTCCAAATACAATTTTAGTCTGATTATAATATAAATGTTGCATGCAAGTAGACTGCACTAAGAACATAAAGAGACTTAATCAAGGATAATTATTCTATTTATCTGTTGAAAAGTTTCAATTTCCAACTGCTTAAGTACTTTTCTCTTCCTTTGCTATAAGTACAAACCAGTAGAGCTTCAGTCTCGACAGAGACTTCTGGTTTATTTTAGAATCGGACGGAAGACGTTGCTCGCAACGAGATCAATTCTAGTTTTTTATATATTAATAATTTCCTCTGATAATCTGATAAGAAAATATCAGAATTTCATTTTATCTGATACAAAAATTTGGACCATCATAGTATTTTTTCTTAATTTTGACCTTGTTCACATCTCTAATTCCTTAGTGAAGCCCTTGTTTACACTGTCTGACACCTTGAGTACAATAATGAGGGGATTAATTATGGCTGAACGCACACAATCACCTTACCTGTTTTAGTAATTGGCACACTAGATTAATGAGTTATGATGATCAGCTTGGGTTTAAATTACTTTTCAGTGATGTACTTGATACTGTAAACCAACTTTTATTCACATGCGAGAAATTTTCGCGAAAGCCTTGTCATCGCGAATATTTCTCGTCGTGAACCGATCCTTAAAATGTATGTGTCTATTAACAACAGATGAAAAAAGATTTGATAGCGAAAATTAATCGTCACGATGTAGTCTATCCCTGGTTAATCGCGAAATAAAATCGCCGTGAATAAAAGTTGGTTTACAGTAATTATGATAATTGTTTGCAATTTATCCAAAGTTAGAATTTAATTATTGAACGTATTAGCTTGTGTATGACAATTTTCTGGGACATTGAAATTGCATCTTAGTTACAGGACTATTGACTTGAGATTTGTCACAAGCAGTATGAAATACATAACCACATCAAAGAAACAAATAAGACAAAACAATCTAATATTTTTGTTTAATTTTAATGTACCATTTATCCGGGGAAAAATGAATTACAGAATAAAGTCAGGCATTTAGTCTACATCTGTTTCCAAAATGGCGGCCATCGAAGAGGAGATGTAAACATGTGCTGATTAAAAATGGCAATAACTTTTAAAAAACAATTTTTATAAATCATTTTATTTGACAAATGTTTTAACATTAAATTTATAAGTACTGTAAATCACTTTTAATTTGCAAGAACTTTATTTGCGCATAGTTACGCAAGACTGTATGCTCGCGAAAATTTCATTCTCGCCTATAATAGAATTCCTTAAGATTATATAAGGCAATGACCACAATTCGTGAAAATTTTGTCTCGCTAATAGAAAATCAATGGCTATCTCGCGAAAATAAGGTGTCGCGAAAATATAAAGTGATCTACAGTATGTTTAACATCTTATTTTAGGAAAATCGCCAGGTAAAGGAATCAAACGAAAAAACGAAAGTGCAAGTTTAAAATTGGCTACGATGTATTGTCAATACATATAGCTCTATAAATCTTTGTTTGAACTCGAAATGAAGCAATCGGCTATTCGAATATTTGGCTATTCTGATACCAGAAGGCTGACAAACTTACTATTGGATTAAACAGGATCCACTGTATATTTAAACTTTTCAATACTCAATAGGGACCCAAGTTTTACATTGAAATATATAGGAAAAACCTTTAAATATCTTCTTCACAAGTAACATTGGAGCAGAAAAGCTGTAAATAATATGGAAGCATCCTGGGGCAGTGTTGATTCTAAATTGTTAAGATCTTGACCCCCAGGTTAGGGCAGGGCCACAATAGGGAATGCAAGTTTTACATTGAAATATAATGGGGAAAATGTTTGAAGAACCGCTAGGCCAGAATAAGCTGAAACTTTAGTGGAAGCATCCTGGGGTAGTGTTGATTCTAAATTGTTATTAAAAATGTTGACCCCTGAGGTAGGATGGGGTCACAATAGATATTATGAGGGGGAATTCTGGTATTAAAGAACTGCATGGCCAAAGGTACGAAGGTGAGCGATGTGGCCCATGGGCCTATTGTTTCTTTGTTAACGGGATCAGCCTCTGGGTATTAAGTAATCAAAGTACCGGTAAGCACGCTTGATGTATAGCTTTGATTAGCAAAGTTGCCTCTTTCAAAATTGTGAATTTCATAGGCTCTGGATTAAAACATGAACCAAAGTCAATTGTTGGAAAGTTGTTGGCAATGCATGATACTCAGGTGCCTTATAAGGCCTGTGGGCCTTTTGTTGATTTTGTCTTTTTGAGTATACCATGTTCAGTGAAAGAACTATCTGTAATAAAAAAAACACAAGAAATGTTTATATTTATACATGTACCAATTTAACTGGTAATCAGTTTGAACATCTTAACCAATTAACAATTCTGTATTCTGATTGTCATCCCTATTATAATACCATGATTACTTTTTTTTTCCAGAAATTCCAGTGCAGTTAATTCCAATAGTGGTAGATAAAGATGGAGCAGAACTCCAGTCTTCATCCTTTGCTCAGGCTTTGCGAAAATGTCTTCTTGATTTCAGTGCAAAAGCTTCAATTTTAAGAAAAGTTGGACGTTACTTTGATTATGAAGTTTATGAAGAAAAAGTTCGTGGAAATACAAGTGTAAATGTGCTTTGCAGAGTTACAAAGGAATCAGACTTGCGTGAATTTGAGGAACGATTTTACAGCGATCAACTTGCAAAAAGTCTAGAACAATATTTGACATCTGTTGGGTTCCATTGGGATTTGAATATTGGATATGGAAGCAAAAAGAAGGAATTCAAATTGAAAGTAATCATAGAAAGAAAATGCTTTACACAGAAGCCAACTGACTTTTCAAAGATTTCAAGGTAAGAATTGTTTATACATGTGTATATATCAATATTTTGTGCCATGGTTCTACATAAGGAGCAGATGACCCCTGTTTAATATTTTGAGGTCACTAGATTAAGGGTTGATCTATGAATATAGGAAAATGTCCATACAGTGTCCTAGGATCTTTGGTTTAGAGATATCAAACTCTGTACACTTGTACAGTGTACTATTGTACTAAGTAGATAACCTTTATTACAATTTTTCCCACTTCAGACAAATTTGTAAATAACTGATTGGATTAAAGCTAATCACATGACGCCCTGAAATTTTCCATATTACGTTGCCGTCAAGTAGTAATATAAAAATTGGGCACGCGATTCCATTCGAAACGTTATTGTAAATAAGAATGGTGGCTAAGAAACGTTTTGCATAGGTAGTTTACTTAAGGAGGCTGGGGGGTCAACAATTTAACCACAAAGTAACCACCAGGGTCCGCCGTTATAAAACTTTGAGAATTCTCATAAAAATTCTCAACTCAAGTCTTGAGAATTACTCACCTGAGAATTTTACAATAAAACAGAGTTTAAGAGTCAGTCCGCGAGAAAACCATGCAGAACTGTCCAAATCGAAGGTTGTCATATCTGAATGAAATTTGGTGGGTAGTTAGACCTTATAATATGTTATTAAAAAATGACCAAAAAAATTCCCATCATTCAACATGGCAGCCGTAGGCTGTGCCACCTCCTTTTTGCACATTTAAGTGCAAATGCACTTAAAAAATTCAAGAAAAATGGTAAAATTCACATTTGATTTATTTTACTCAAAATTAAACTTGCATTTCCACTAAGGTATTTTTAAGTAATATAAGACTATGTTCTTTCAAAATTGACATTTATCATAAACAAATATGCAATATATGAAAGGGCAGACAACTCTTGAAAATTGGCGTGATGCCAATTTTCAAGAATTGCCAAAAGTATTACAAATTCAATGCCCCAAATCTTCCAAGACCAATCTTTGAAATTATTTTTTTTGATTTTATTGTACAAATATAACTCTAAACATTATCTTTGCGAAATATTGAGCTTGGGAAATAATAAATAATTGAGATATGGGGATTTACAAATTGCCAATTTTCAAAAAAAATGCTCAAACTCAAATGGGTACAAAGTCAAATATAGTACTTTGAATTATAAGCAATTGTTGTTAGATATTGAAACATGTAACAATTTTCTTTGAAATAATAATTAAAATTGAAAAAATATTAAAATTAAAAAAAAAATTTAAAAATAAAATTAAACTAAATTGTCAGAAATTACACCTTATATGAGGACCGGCATTTTGCCAATTGTTTAGAAATGAAAAAAAGCATAATAAATTGTATTGGCTTACTTGCAATTTTTCAGCAATCATATGGATATTCATGTTCCTTACATTTTGTAAGTTAGTTTCTCTTTAATTAAGAAAAGAGAAATTACAAGTATTTAAATTCAAACGGACTCTATTTCAGTATCATTCATATAAAGAATGGGTGGACTTAACTGGCCAGTAAAAATGCCGTAAATTTAAGTTTCATAAAATGTTTGTTTATTTTTTTTTTCATCAAAGAAACCACCAATATCTTAACTGTGTATTCATGGTACGGACGCGAATTTAAAACGATTTTTTCGAGGTAAACTAAATAAATATCGAAGGCATGGTGCCTGAAGATTTCTTGAATATCAATAGATAATCAGGGTCACGCGTTTTTCATCGTCTGAATTCATAGTCAGCACATATTTGTTGGCTGTTCTTAAGAAAACTATAGTTGTATATTGAACAAAATAATGTTATATGAAAAGGAGAAGAGCCGACAAACGTGTGCTCATACTTAATTTAACAAAAAACGTTCAAAACAAACTTCTCGCTTCCATTGTTATGTCTTCGATGGACCAGTTAAATATTACAATTGATCACGTGATATCCACCTGCGAGTGGACTCGTGAAAACATTACATTGTATTCTTCAACCTGACCTCGATCTAAATCTTGTCTTTGAGCGTGTTTTGTTGCCGTTTTCAGAATTTAGCAAATCAAATATTGTTTTAATTTTGCCTGTCATCACATTTTTAAAATAATTTCATATTGACATCGCTGTAATATGCTAAACACGTATTCGAATTTTTGGAGAGAGAGAGGATAGAAAGAGAGATGTCAACAATGACGCCGATCGATAGCCCCGCCTCCTATAAATATTGATTGTGTAACATAAAAACCACTCCGGGTACATGTCCAATTCCGAAAGACGACACTCGTGTGTCATTGCTTTAATGTTGATACATGACAACAGGGCATTGTTTTTGCAAAAAAATTTCACCTAATATATAACCAAGTATAGGTGGCTCTTTCCATTGCTCGTAATATACTTTGGATTTACTTCATTTTCGACTTGGTAGAGGAGGCGCAAAAAGATCCAAAACAGGGCGTTAAGTCCACCCATTCTTTTGAGACTTGAACATATACAATTTGAGCTTTCAGCAAGTTGTTTGCTTTCTGCCAATTTTAAATTGGCGCAATCTTATAAAAATACTGACAGGAGATGTTATACAAAATACTCCATAAAGGAGTTCAAGAAAATGAAAGATGTTGAAGTTTACTCTTATCCCACCTCCCGAATCAAACAATTGTCTTCTTTTTTGGCTTGGCAAATTCTTTTCAGGTAAGTTTAATTTTACACCCCACCCACGCAACCCATCCCACCCCGACCCTTTCAAAATCGTTTCTACGTCACTGCTATGACTGCGATTTTCGTGAATAAGAGATTTTATGAACAAGAATAAATCAACCTGTATCAAATAATGGGGGATTGAATTTATAAAATATATATGTTTATAAATTTGTGTATTTAAAGTGATTTAATCTAAAATAAAAAAAATATCATACGTTTTCCGTTCCGTTTTCCGTTCCTCGTTTTAGCAACACCCCTCCAGAACCCCTATCATTTTTCATTATTTTATACATTTCAATAATAGTATTTAAATTGTGGGGAGGTGGATGGGGTTAAACGATTGGGTACTAGATACACTCATATATTTAATATCCTGACCTTGAAAAATGAATTTATTAATCTTTTCTCGACTGACACGCCCCCTTCCCCAACTTCAAAATAAGACTGACTGCAATGGTATTAATAATACCATTATGGTTATTCAGAAAAAGTGTCAAACATTAATTTACAAGGCCTTATACAATTTTATTAATAATGTTATGAAAATAATTTTGACAAAATTTGATAACCCCCCCCCCCATTTGAATGAATATGAATCCAGTCTTTTATCATGTTTATAGATGTTAAATTCAAGTCGGTTTTAACTTTTTACCACTTTGTACTGCAAACTGGCATAAATTTTGGCTGCAGTAATGACTCATGTTTTCTTTTTTTTTGGGGGGGGGTGTTACCCTCCCCCGAATAATTTTGCCAATATATATCGTGGAGGGTCCTATATCGGTGTGGTACCTAAATCGGTGGCATCTCCTTTTGTGCTGATGATTTTTTAATGGGAGATCTGACTTTATCAGTATATGAATGTTACGTAACACAGTAGTTTAAAGTATGTAATGTAAAATTAAAAATATTCCTAGGAATGTTTGGTTAACTCAAAAACACACTAAATTTATGAAACGTAAACAATTTACATGTAGATTAAAATTACCAATTATTTTTGAATTTGTTGAGAGTAATGACAGTATGCAATCAAATACCTGTATGCATGTATATTCTATATTTTCTCAACTGATAACAAAACAAGTTACTAAGACACTAAGAAAACTACGTACGTTTATATTAAAAATATATGACTTTAGTTAGTCAGTCCTCCATGATTTTTCCCCTCGCTTATTTTATTATTACATGTTTCATATGTGTTTTTCAAAGTATATCATATATACGTGTACCTCTGACCTGAATTTATTTTGTAAATATTCTTCATGTACCTGAAATGGATTGAATGAATAAAATGATCTTGAACTTGAACGGGGCCAGGTGCCTTAAACAAAATTTCAAATGTATATTTTGATAAAAAAATATCTGCTAGGAAAAATTTTGTAACTGTTAATTACCATACAAATACATGTAGATTCCTCGAGGACAGAACCCTATAGAAAACATAGCTACTACATATATATGCTTGTTCCTCAAATAAAAAAAACATCTGATGACCTTTTATTTTCATTTTTTTTACTTTCTTTGGAATTCTTGGCAGTTGATAATGTAGGTTGTCCCCCCTCCTTCACACTGAAATAGCTTCCTATGGGCCTGCTATTTGTTTATTCAAGCTAAGTTGTTGTTTCTTTCTTACATTCAAATATCTTAAAATAAGTTTTCCCTCTTTCATAGTGCAATAATGCTCCACAAAAACTCCCTAGGTGAAGACAAAATGATCATACATGACTTTCTTCTTTCCATATTGACATACCTGTCACTTTTTACCCACTAATACTAAAGAGGTCCAACAAGGGGAGATAACAATTTAACTCAAGCAAATTGGTAACAATAGCCTAAATTAAGCAAAAGAAAGTGATATGAAGTATCCATATAAGTTATTCCTACTCTAAAAAATATATTAGATTAAGGATCCTCTTTTTTTCATTTAAATATCATAGAAATAATCCATAAATATGGTAATAGACTGTTATTTAAAATATGTGAAATTGTAGCAATTTATGGTATGTCAAAGTTAATGTACACCATGTACATATTATTTCCCAAGCTCAATATTTTAATACAAAGTAGACCTTAGATCATTCTTAAAGTAACAATTAATTTAATTTAATTTCAACTTTGGTCTTGAGAGAAACGAGCATCTAAAAATGGCTAAAAAATCATACTCATTGATTTATGATCTATAAATAGATGTGTGAAAAATAAAATATTCAGTTGAATTAAGTTTTTCCTCATTAATTGTGTAAATTGGACCATTACTTTGAAAATAAAACAAAATTTGAAAATAAACTGATGACAAAAGGTAACTTTTTGACAAGATCAATTTGTATAGATT